ATGCAGGGGAGAAAGCCTGATTGGGAGAGAAAAGTGTTCACTCCTGCAAGCAGGAGTACCACCAGGCCTGGAGCTGGAGGAGGGAGGCTGGAAGAGGAAGCAGGACACGTAGCAGGAAAAACATTTAGTAAACATGCTCTGTGTTCCAGGCACTCTTAGGCGTATTATGAAACTTTCCAAGCTCTATAACAACTGTAGAGTACATGATGTTTTCTCCATTTTATGGAAGAAAAAACTAAAGTTTTGAAAGGCTAGGTAATTTCGAACAACTCAAGCCAGAAACCTGGATTCATCCTGGACACCCCGCTTTCCTCAGCCCACCTTCTCCATCCAGACACTATCAATGAACCAGCCCCCTTGAGGCGACCTCCTAGAACTGTCCCACTGCTTTCTTCCTATTGGCCACCGTCTCGCTTCAGCCACCTTGTTTACTGCATGGATTTTTATGATAGCATCCAGTGGTCTTCCTGCCCAGTTAGCTCCCCAGAGAATCAGGTGCAAAGACTGTTGGGCTCCCCTGTTTGACTACTTGGAATACCTGCTGTAAGCTGCACTTTAAAAGAGATCCGGTTCACCTCCATTCTTTTTTTTTTTTTTAATAAATTTATTTATTTATTATTTATTTTTGGCTGTGTTGGGTCTTTGTTGCTGCACATGGTGAGCAGCGAGAGGGGGCTACTCTTCGTTGCGGTGCGCGGGCTTCTCACTGCAGTGGCTTCTCTTGTTGCGGAGCACGGGCTCTAGGTGCACGGGCTTCAGTAGTTGTGGCACGTGGGCTCAGCAGTTGTGGCTGGCGGACTCTAGAGCGCAGGCTCAGTAGCTGTGGTGCATGGGCTTAGTTGCTCCGCGGTATGTGGGATCTTCCCAGTCCAGGGCTCGAACCGTGTCGCCTGCACTGGCAGGCGGATTCTTAACCACTGCGCCGCCAGGGAAGTCCCAACCTCCATTCTTAAGAGGAAGCATGGTGGTTTTCTTTCTAGAATATTTAGTATAGCCTTAGGCACATGTCTGATATCTCCACTTGCTCATCATCAAACTGAAACATGTTTTCCTGAAATCTAAAATAATTTAAAGTTTATGAAGCCAGCTTGGTTTTGATCCAGACACAAATCCTTAGCAACTAAGAACATTTTTGCTTTTTTTTTCTTAAAAAAAAGTCTATTTTGTTTTGCCTGAAACTTGGAAGACACACATATATTGATTCATTTACAAGAATTAAAGTAAATTTTAATTCTGCTTTAACTTTCCACCTCGTCATCCCCAAACTATACCAACTATCTTTTTGTAATGCATTTTCTGAGCCACAGCCTGCGGCAGAGACTGAAGCCGGTCAGGGCACTGTGTGGATGAATTATGGCGTCAGCCTCCTAGGTCACATCTGGCTCTCATTCCATGAGCTCTGAATGGTGCCGTCTGTGTTCTTCAGACACTCTGCACCCACAAGTTATCAATCACCTAGGAAGGAACAAACTCTAACACCTCCTACCTGCTTGGGGTTCTTAGTACAGAACACGAGGCAGAACACCGAGCTTCATTTTTTGGAAGAATGGAAGAAATAGAGAGGTTTCTTTCAGCAGAAAAGTTGACCGTTGCATGGTTATTCAGAGGTGACTTTTGTTCGACTCTTGCCTGCTCTGCCCTCTGTCTCGTAGTTTATGGCTTCCCCATCTCCATCTCATTCCAGCAAGCGTTTCACCACACACCAGGCATCACCCTTGTGGTTCACATCCCTACCTCATCTTCTCCTCCTCTGCCCCCTTAGGCAGATATTGTTACCTTGCTTCCTGCGTGAGGCCACTGGGAGCCTGTGAGAATTTCGATGTCTTGCCCGTAAGCCGGGGTCTTAACGTGCTCCTTCCACTAAGCTGTGTTGCTTGGAGGACTTAAGTCTTTGAAGCTCCTGAACATTCTGACTTTCAGCACATCTAGAGCTGGGATGTATTTTTGAGATGAGACAGTTTAATTCCTTAATCTCCCTGCGGGGGTCGGGGGGGAGTGACTTCCCTGGTGGCGCAGTGGTTGAGAGTCCGCCTGCCGATGCAGGGGACATGGGTTCGAGCCCTGATCCAGGAAGATCCCACATGCCGCGGAGCAACTGAGCCCATGCACCACAACTACTGAGCCTGTGCTCTAGAGCCCGTGAGCCACAACCACTGAGCCCACGTGCCACAACTACTGAAGCCCGAGCGCCTAGAGCCCGTGCTCCGCAACAAGAGAAGCCACCACAATGAGAAACCCACGCACCACAATGAAGAGTAGCCCCCCGCTCGCCACAGCTAGAGAAAGCCCATTCGCAGCAACGAAGACCCAACACAGCCATGAAATTAATTAATTAATTAATTAAAAAAAAAAATCTCCCTGGGGGAAACTAAAGTTCTGAGGGACAGGCTGCTTTCAAGTTAAACAGACTTAGACTTGAAATCAGAGGTCCTCATTTGAATGCCCATTTTGCCAGATCTTATCGATTTGGACAAATCTTATAGTCATCCTGAACATCAGGTACTAATATACCATTCACGGGAGTCGAGTGAGATCATCTGAACAAGCAGGTCTTCAGGGTCTGCTCTTGGATGTGACTCCTGCCCTAGCGGATCTTGTCTAGGGAGAGAGGCAACTGGAAAGTAAATTTTAAAATATACTCTCAAAATTATGCTGAGACTTGCAGAACTCCTGGCACATAGTTGATTTTCTATAAACGAGTTGACCTTGTTACTGGTTTAAGATGTAACTATTGGAAGTAAAATCATGAAAAACAAAAGTATACAGGAGACTGTTAAAGGAGATAAAAGAGATAAGACAACCAAAGGCAGTGTGAGATCCTGAACTAGATCTTGGTGGAAAAAAATCTTTAAAAGACATTTTTTGGACAAAGTAAAACAGTTGCATAACATTAAATTTCATAGGCATGATAATGGCTTTGTCATTATACAGGAGAATATCTTCGGTGAAGCATTTACTAGGGAAGGCTGTGTCTGCCACTGGGATAAACAGTTCTATATAGTAAAGAGACAGAGGGAGGTGAACCCCAGGAAATTCTAAAATTACATCCACCCCCAACAAAGGTTCAGGAACATTTAAAATGGACTTTTCTTCTGATTCAGTAACTATACTTGTTGGAACATATCCTAAAGAAATAATCGTAGATAAGGTATGACTTCTTTGTCAGTGGGTAGAAGTGGTGCACTAGGTGAGAGGTGAGCACAGCCCCAAGTGGATATCGCATGCCCAGAGTCTACATCTTGAACAGCAGTACGAAAAGGCTGAAAACAATTGAGTTTTACTCCGAGAAAGTGTGTGGTGCCCTTGCGCCTGCCCATCCAGCCCAGCGTCACAGCCTCCAGCCAAATTTCGTTGATAAATAAGCCCATTTCCCTGAGGGTGGCCAGGGTTGGCTACTGTTCACAAAGAAGCACAACAGATAGAACAAAGAAACCGTTGTTCAGTTGCAGATTAAAGGAGATTACAGAGCAAACCTTCTTATCCCTTTCAACAGTCCCATTACCCAGCATTTTAATTATAGGCTCATATGAGTTCTCCTAAGCAATTAAACCAAAGTATCCCTGCACATGTTCATATAAATCCACCATTCCGTCACTGTCTGGAAGTTACAGTCGTCATGGCCAGCCTGCCCCTCCAGCCATCTCTCTCTCCCACTGGTTATTCAGATCCCACACCAAAGAGGGAAAAGGCTCACCCAGATTGGCCTTTGCCCAAGGTATCTCCAGGATGCCTCCCAGACCACCCGCTCTGACTCACACCTGTGACTGGTGGTCTCCACGGTCTACTGTTAGGTCCACCAGCCAGGGACTTTTGCTGCTGTTACCCCTAGTTCCCAGGGCCCCAACACAGCACCTGGACCTCAACAGGCATGCAAAAATAGTTACTAAATAAGCCAACAAGTGAGCAAATGAATTGTAGAGCCTGCAAAGAAAGAACAAAACTAGTGGCATAATTCTAAAAATGTTATAGCCAGTGACCATTAAAAGGGTAATGGTCACAACTCTGTGCCAACAAACTTGAAACTTAGGTGGACCAATTTCTTGATGGAGGAAATCCACAGAACTCACTTAAAAAAGAACTAGATAATCCAATATCTATTAAAGAATTAGATCAATAATTAATAACCTTCCAAAGCAGAAAGCAGTGGACACAGATAGTTTCACTGGTGGATTCTACCAGACTGTAGAGAAATTTTTCCAATTCTCTACACCAGTCCCAGAAAATAGAAGCAGAGATAGAACATTCATAGAACATTCTATGAGGCCAGCATTATGCTAGTGCCCCAAGCCAGAGAGAGACATCTTAAGAAAGGAAAGCTACAGACCAATATCTCTCATAAAGGTAGATGTGAAAAATTCTCAAAAACATATTTGCAAATCAAATGCAACAATGTATAAAAATAATTATATGCCATGACCAGGTGGAATTTATTCCAGGTATACAAGGCTGGTTAAACATTCAAAAATCATGTAATGGAATCCATCACATCAACAGACTAAAGAAGAAAAATCAATCTATGAATTAAAAAAGAAAAGACCATGAGAGGAGGTTGTTTCTAAAGAATTTATCATCTCCCTAACAGAATAAGTTCCTTAAAATTCTCCTGTAAATACAAGATTTACTATCCCACAAGCTAGATCAAATATATGAAGTATCACCCAGAGGAGCCTGGGCTTCTGGGAGAGACGCCCCTGCTGGCTCAGATGAGCCTCGTGGCCAGCATGTCTCCCGGGCTCTGTTCCATGTGACCCAGACGTCACCAACATCTCCCTCTTCCTCACAGCCCCTCTCAGGGACTGACACCACCGAGACCCTGACTTGTCAAGATGGAGACCTGGGCGTTATCCATGACTTCTCATCTCCACCTCAAATAGTCTATAGATTTCTTTTCCCTGTTATTTCTTAACTCTGCCTCCCCCCATCAGGGTCTTTATTTCCAGTACCACAGTTAAGGCATCACAATCTGTCTTCTGGGCTTTTACAACATCCTCCTAACTTACCTCCCTTGCTCAGGTATTTCCTCTTTCCAGAGTGAATTTTCAGGAACGAAAATCTGACTTTTTCCATTCTTTCTTAAAGCCGTCCTCCCCAGCACCTGGTTTTTCTACTTTATTGCGCCAGACGCAGGCATACTCATCTATTGCTGACTCAACCAGCCCCACCCTCTCTCTGCAAGGTGCACTGTGCACCTACATGCCTGCGGTCCTGTACTGGTAGCCCGGGTGCAGCAGGAGCAAAGCAGAGTCCTGCCCCCTAGGACACACACTCTAGTAGGGAGAGACCAAACAACAGACACGTAGCAAACAAACAGGGTGTTTCAGGAACTTATGGATTTTATGAAGATAAGACGGATAATAGGATGGAGATTTCCTGAAGGGTAGCCTTAATAGGAGGATGGGCAGACTTGGGGGGGAAACCTTAGTGATGAGGGTAAGGATCTGGGGATGGGAGAAGCAAGGATGGTAGAGGGGAGAGCTACTGGGGCCAGAACAGGCAGGTACTTGTTGATTGTGGTGAGGGTTAGAACACCGGCAAGGTGGGAAGCCATGGAGTACCGTGGTGCAGCAAGATGAGATTTGTGCCGGTGCCTCTCTCTGCTTGGAGCTTAGGCGGTTAGAAAGCCCAGGGTAGAGGCAGGAGGCTGACCAGGAAACTTGCCATCATCCAGGCAAGAGATGCTGGCAGCTTACAGTGGCTTAAGATACGTTGTGAAATTAAACAGGATGAATTGGATATGGGTGTGAAGGGAAGACAGAAGCCCATGGGATCCTCGGGTTATGGCATATTGGGAAGGCTGCACAGGAAAACTCGAGAGTTCTCTTTGGCACGGTTGTCATCCTATTTGAAATTTCAATTTCAAATTCAAGCAGAGATTCAGAGAGGTAGTCAGGTGACTGTGGGGAACTAGGGAGAGAGGCCCAAACCAAATAGATTTCTGACATTTGAAGACACGGTTCTTGTTGAGATGACGTAGCGGGGAGAGAAAGAGAGTAGAAAATGGAAGCTGAAGGTGTGGAACAGCGAGTACAGACAGCTGTGTGAGAAGTTTGGGCAAACCCTGGTTCACGCCTACCGCCTTTCAAAACTCAGCTCGGAGACACTTCGCCTGGAAAGCCACAGCTGACCACACGAGGCCGGAAGAGGTACCGCTCCACCTGCTAGAAAAGCCCTTGCCCCACTCAGTGGTAGGGACTTGCTTGTCTGCCCACCTGCCTCTGCCTGGAGGACCCGGGCTGTGGCTTCTGCGCGCAGCACTTGTCTGACACCTGTCAATCAGCTCCATCACGCAAGTCAAACAAACGACTACAGCGTATGTAAAGAACTGTCAAAACTCAGTGGTAAGAAAACAAAGAACCCAATTAAAAAGTCGTTGATAGACCTGGACTCTTCACCAAAGAGAACATACAGGTGGCAAATGAGCACAGGAAAGGTACTCACTATCATCAACCATCAGGGAAATGCAAATTGAAACCACAATGGGCACCGCTACATCCCTGTTGGAATGGCTAAGATAAATATTGACAATACCAAGTGCTGGTGAGGCTGCAGAACCGTAGCTGGTTCTGTATTGCTAGTGGGAATGCAGAATGGTGGAGAAAACACTCTGGAAAACGGTTTGGCACTTCTTCTTATAAAGTTAAGCACACACCATATGAGCTAGCAATCCCACTGTTGGGTATTCACCCTAAAGAAATGAAAACTTATGTTTATACAAAAGCCTGTACAAATGTTTGTAACAGCTTTATTCATAATCACCAAAAACTGGAAGTAAGTCCTTGAATGGTTGAATGGAAGGAGCATCTGTACAACGGAGTGCTATCAGCAATAATAAGAAATGGACTAGTGATACTAAGAGCATCCCATATCCACACACCTCTCGTCACCCTTCCCAGCTCCTCTGGCAAGACGTGGACAGGCCTCCCCTCTACTCGGAGCAGACAGATGAACCTCCAAGACGTTTTGCAAAGTGGAGGAAGCCAATCTGAATGGTACGACATTGACAATGGTATCGACAATGCCCATTTATGTGACATTCTGGACAAGACAAAATTATAATGACAGAACCGATCGGTGGTTGCCAGGGGCTGGGGGTGGGGCATGACTGTAAAGGAACACCATGATGGAGCTTGGGGGGGTGATGGAATGGTTTTATATCCTGATGGTCCTGGTGCACACACAAATCTATACACGCGTAAAAATTCATACAACTATACACCACAAAAGGCAATATTACTGTAGGTTAATTTAAGATGCATCGTTTAAGATTAAAAAAAATTTTTTTTGGTCGCACCGCACGACCTGCAGAACTTCCCGGACCAGGGATTGAACCTGTGCCCCCTGCATTGGAAGCGTGGAGTATTAACTGCGGGACCGCCAGGGAAGTCCTAAGATGCATCATTTAAAAGTCATCATTTGCTGCACGGATGAATGGATGAAGTTTATTTGCAAATCAGACCGACTTCCAGGATTTCTTAGTTACTTTGCCTCATTCTAGCCAAGATAGGTGACTCTGTTGGACTAGAAATGAGAAATTTCACCCAGGACACTAGAGGGCTTGACTACTGCGGCACTGGTGTCTTCCTTTGATGTTAAACCACAAGATACAAGTTTACGTGTTGATGGGTCCAGAACTGTGGGGTCTTCTCAG